CAGAGCTCGGGATGCTTCTCTGTTCTTGAGATGAAAGGCACATGTCTGTGTTTTAGACGGATTAGGGATCAGCTGGTTTTCCCGGGACATGATATCATTAGATGCATACATAAACATTAAAAACATTTGTCTCAATATTAAAATATACTGGTTTAAAAACGGTCTATCAAACTGACCTTGACAGCCACAGAAGAACAGCAAATCTAGGGCGAACTCGGTTGCTTCCGTGTCGTGGGCAAGACTATAGCAGCCCTGTGTCCAGCGCCTCAGCTCTCCCGCACACAAGGGGACGCTGGAGCCTAAAGGGAGAAAAACAAGGACAGAATCTCTTTTCTTTCACATCCCACGGATAGGTCACGGAAATCCAAATTCTGTCAATGGGGACTTGCATTCAGTCCTTGCCATGAGCACTGGTTGGAAAGACTCAATCTCGGCACTGTTGCACACTTGGGTATCTAGCCAGCGCAAAGTCACAGGTCTGACGAGTGGATTGACTGAATTTGGATGATTGGTGTATAGCTAAAGACCTCTTCTGGATTGATTTTGTCATTTGGGAGTTGTAGTTGCTGGGATTTAGAGTTCACCTACAATCAAAGAGCATTCTGAATTCCACCAACGATGGAATTGGGCCAAACTTGGCACACAGATCTCCCATGACCATCAGAAAATACTGAAAGGGTATACTGAGTTTTGAGTTTTGGAGTTGTAGTTCACTTACATCCAGAAAGCACTCTGGACTCAAACAATGATGGGTCTGGGCCAAACTTGGCAAGAATACTCAATATGCCCAAATGTGAACACTAGTGGAGTTTGGAGAAAATAGACCTTGATATTTGGGGGTTGTAGTAGCTTGGAATTTATAGTTCACCTACAAACAAAGAGCATTCTGAACTCCACCAATGATGTAATTGAACCAAACTTGGCACATAGAACTCCCATGACCAATAGAAAGTACTGGAAGGGTGGCAAGAATACACCAAATGTGAACACTAGTGGAGTAGTGGAGGAAATAGACCTTGATATTTGGGAGTTGTAGTAGCTTGGAATTTATTGTTCGCCTACAATCAAAGAGCATTCTGAACTCCACCAATGATGTAATTGAACCAAACTTGGCACACAGAACTCCCATGACCAACAGAAAGTACTGGAAGGGTTTGATTTGATGGGCATTGACCTTGGGTTTTGGAGTTGTAGTTCACCTACATCCAGAGAGCACTCTGGACTCAAACAATGATGGATCTGGGCCAAACTTGGCAACAATATTCAGTATGCCCAAATGTGAACACTAGAATTTATAGTTCACCTACAATCAAAGAGCATTCTGAACTCTACCAATGATGTAATTGAACCAAACTTGGCACATAGAACTCCCATGACCAACAGAAAGTACTGGAAGGGTGGCAAGAATACACCAAATGTGAACACTAGTGGAGTAGGGAAAATAGACCTTGACATTTAGGAGTTGTAGTAGCTGGAATGTATAGTTCACCTACAATTAAAGAGCATTCTGAACTCCACCAATGATATAATTGAACCAAACTTGGCACACAAAATTCCCATTGCCAACGGAAAATACTGAAAGGGTTTGGTGGCCATTGACCTTGAGTTTTGGAGTTGTAGTTCACCTACATCCAGAGAGCACTCTGGACTCAAACAATGATGGGTCTGGGCCAAACCTTGGCAACAATATTCAAGATGCCCAAATGTGAACACTAGTAGAGTTTGGAGAAAATAGATCTTGATATTTGGAAGTTGTTGTTGCTGGGATTTGTAGTTCACCTACAATCAAAGAGCATTCTGAACTCTACCAATGATGTAATTGAACCAAACTTGGCACATAGAACTCCCATGGCCATCAGAAAGTACTGGAAGGGTATACTGATTGGCATTGACCTTGGGTTTTGGAGTTGTAGTTCACCTACATCCAGAGAGCACTCTGGACTCAAAAAATGATGGGTCTGGGCCAAACTTGGCAAGAATACTCAATATGCCCAAATGTGAACACTAGGGGAATTTGGAGGAAATAGACCTTGATATTTGGGAGTTGTAGTAGCTTGGAATTTATAGTTCGCCTACAATCAAAGAGCATTCTGAATTCCACCAACAATGGAATTGGGCCAAACTTGGCACACAGGTCTCCCACAACCATCAAAAAATACTGAAAAGGTATACTGATGGGCATTGACCTTGGGTTTTGGAGTTGTAGTTCACCTACATCCAGAGAGCACTCTGGACTGAAACAATGATGGATCTGGGTCAAACTTGGCAAGAATACTCAATGTGCTCAAATATGAACACTAGTGGAGTTTGGAGGAAATAGACCTTGACACAAGACACCTAACAACCCAATGTATGTCCTTCTCTCAAAAAATGATTTTGTAATTTGGGAGTTGTAGTTGCTGGGATTTATATTTCACCTACAATCAAAGAGCATTCTGATATCCATCAATGATGAGTTGAATGAAATCTGACATACAGAACTCCCATGACCAACAGAAAATACTGGAAGGGTACACTGATGGGCATTGACCTTGAGTTTTGGAGTTGTAGTTCACCTACATCCAGAGAGTACTCTGGACTCAATGTTGGATTTGGACTCAGTGATGGATCTGGACTCAACACTAGTGGAGTTTGGAGGACCTTGACCTTTGGGAGTTGTAGTTGCTGGGATTTATAGTTCACCTCCAATCAAAGAGTATTGAACCCAGCCCACAATGGATCAGCACCAAACTTGGCACACTACCTACATGGCCAACATGGAACAAGGCACTGTATTGGAAAATGACTGCAGCAACTAACTCCATCTGCTTTACATACCAGTCTCTTGCCCACCATTCCCATTTTCAGGGATCTCTTTGGAGTCTTCTGTGTTGTCACTACTATCACTTTTTCCTCGACTGCACTGTCCTTCTGTGCTTTTGGAAGAGCTCCCCACTGTGGCTCTTCCTTCTTCCTCTCCTTCTGCTTCGTCTTCTGGAGCCAGGAAATGCAGCTTCAGGCCTGTGAAGTTGGAGAGGAGCAGGAACAAGGCCTCGGAGCGGAAAAGTTCCATGCCGCTTTTCAAGACGGCAGGCAGGCTCTCCTCTTCAGCTTTTGCATAATGCCTGGAAACAACAAGAACCTTTATTGATAAAAAGCGGCTGTGTTTTAAAAAAACTGTCCTTCAAAGCAAAATATTCAAATTGCATAGAAAATACATTATGTAAATAATGTATATGTTACCTATTTGTGAACATTATTTTGCTTTTGTCAAAATAGTTTTTGATTGGGATCAGGAGGTGATGCCTTGATTATATTTGCATCCTCCTATTTCTGAGGATCTCCTCTGAGGGCTGCTGGCATCCCTCTCTTGCACTATTATGCCCATCTATGCTGATGATCGTGCCATTACTGCTCAAGCAGGGAGCTTTGAGATGGTTGAACAGAAGCTCTCCGAAGCTCTAGGTGCTTTAACTGCCTATTACAGGGAAAGCCAGCTGATCCCTAATCCATCTAAAACACAGACATGTGCTTTTCATTTCAAGAACAGAGAAGCATCCCGAGCTCTGAAGATTACCTGGGAAGGAATCCCACTGGAGCATTGCAGCGCAC